TATATATATATATATATATATATATATATATAGATATATAGATAGATAGATAGATAGATATAGATATAGATATAGATATATATAGATATATAAAGTCATGTCTCTTTTTACAGTGCCATTGTAACTTCAAATGGTCACTATATGAAATCTTGTAAATTGAGGACTACCTGTGTAAATATTAACAAAACGTCAATTCGAAGCATGAAATTCTTACCGTGATAAGCTCAGATTTATAGCAAGGATCAAAATAGTTGTTTGTTTTCAAGAGGAATAATTCACTTTCTTGTCCACATATTTGACTTCATGGAATTGTTTCCTATTTTTCAGTTAAGGATGAATTGGCTGAAAGAAAAAAAATAAAAAGGTCAGCTTTTAGGTAAGTGAACTGGTCATCAATGAAGAACTATTAAGAATTATTTAACTGCATTCAAAAGAATAAAAAATATTAGTACATACAGCTTTTCAGGGGTGACTTATGATGTATCACCACTTTTGGGGAGTATTTACTATTTCAAAGCTTCCTTGTTTAATATCTGATTTAATAGGAATGGAACTAAAAAACCTTTTTCTACATTACCACTTACATTAGTCAAGTATTGGGGAATCAACATTGGGAAAGGGAGAGAATTTTCTAGAAGAGTAAACAAGTTTAAGCAGTAGAAGGAAATCAAGTAGTAAGAAAATATGTTTTACAGCCCTTAGGGGTGAGGTGAGCAAATATATGATTCTTTGGTTATCCAAAGTAAAAAAGCAATATACCTGTCTATCCACTTCTGAGATTTAAGTGGCAGCAGTAAACAGAAAAACCTCAAGGCATCTTGCTTAATAAATGTATCAAGGGTATCTGAAATGCTAGTTTAATACAATGAATTTAAGAATGATCTTATCAGTTCTCAGATCACTTCTCTAACCATATTTGTTTGCATTTACAAGTCGAAGATTTTCTATGAGAAAGATACTAACTATGCATATCTGTATTGATAGACCCAGAATTACATTATTTTATATTCTACATAATACAAAAAGGAGTTTGGAATTATGACCATTTTTAATTTGAAATTTCTATTTAAATGAAACATTGTGTGATTGATACAAGCATAACATTTCTATATTCAGATAAAAGCAAACACGAGTGCCACTCTGCTCAGCTGAGATTTTCATACTTAAATAAACTAAAAGATTTATAACATCCATTTACAATTTTATACTATGGTAACAATAGACATGTTAATTTTTAAAGATTGAGTGTGAAAGGAACGCAGGAGCCATGGATCATGAGAGTAATGATGTTTATTAGTACCAGATGACAAGATGACAAGCGATTC